TGTGAGACTTTGTTTTATGCCCTGCTGTATCTTGAGAAACTATACAGTGCCTACCACAGAGAAGGCACTCTCATCGAATAAAGGGGACTTCAACTGTTAGTGTTACCCTTCATTTATTTATTTTTCGTTCTTTAAAGAAACTCATAGAAGAGAAGAACTAAATGGCAAATAAACTATGAAAAGATGCCCAGTCTTATTAGTGCTCAGGAAAACACAAACTGAAATAGTGATTAGTTACCATGTCATCTCCATCAGCTTGGCTAAAATTAAAAAATCTAACAATAGAAGAATTTGTATGGAAAAATAAGAATTCTCATTCACTGCTTATAGGATTGTAAGTTGGTTCACTCTGAGGAATAATTTAGTAACAGATAATAACAACATATTTAGTCTACAACTCAGCAATTCCACTTCAAAGCATATACTTTCAAATTATTCCACATGTGCCTAAGGAATTGTGAAGAAAAATGTTCAATAAAGCATTGTTTATAAGAGCAAAACAAAATGGTGATCTAAATATCTATCAATAGGGAAATAAATTAAGGCCTGTATTCATACTATGGGATGCAACATAGCAAGTGAAAATAATGAAATAAGTTTACCTATGTCAGTATGGAAAAATCTCCCAACAATTTGATGCAAAAGCAAGTTACAAAATGTTATGTACCATACAATGCCATTTATGTAAATTTTGAGAACCAAAGACCATTTATTCACTGCTTATATAAACAAAGCACACGAGGAGAAGCATTAAAACTTTCAAAGGAAGAATGCACACCAACTTCAAGATAATGGCTACCTCTGAGAGAAGGAGTACAAAGACAATTTCAATTATACGTATAATGTTACTAAAAAAAAGATCTGAAACAAAAATAAATTTTTTTTGCAAATTTTTACTTTCACAACATGAAAGAACACAGAATCATCACATAATGAATATCTGAATTTCTCTTTCTCTCATGGCCTTGAAAAACTGAAGTTCAACACTAAAACTGACTTGGCAGAAATAAATAGTGATAAAAACAAAAATGTAAATGAACAAAAAGCAAAGTCTACCTTTTGGCTCATGATAATGAAAGTTTAAGAAGTTTTAAATAAAACCTCAAAAACCTGTATCTGTCTGTGGTCTCACTTTCAGAGCATCTTCTGTTATTTATAAATATCATCTAAGGCACTAGATATGATGGCGTGGGTTATACTGGTGCTCTTTGGGAGTAGATTTCTGGGGTTTATTTTTCTTTTCAAATAATCAGTACAGTGTCTGTTGCTGCTATCTGAAGGCATCATGTGAATTTAACACTAAAATGAAAATGCCTATGTCAAGAAAAAAAAGCAAGAAAGCCCATAAGGTCACTATGCAACCCTGATTCACCTAACAGAACTGTCATATATTCTTCCTAAAGCCCAGATGAAATGGAGAACAATGAATTTTATTATGGGGTATTACTTTAACCTAAACTAAAATAAGATTAAACTTTTGAAAGAGAGGTTTCTAAAGCTTTACATAACATTGCGATTTAAATAACACTTTTTAAACTCATAGTTTGATAGAGCAATACAGGTAAAAGGTTGACAGAGGGAAGAAAAGTAGGCAGCTTAATTAAAAAAGAAAATGAACTAAAAAGTTTTCAGAAATAAGGAAAGAGTTAAACATAAACTGAAAACATTAGTGTGAACTAGTGATTTTAAAAATATTTTAAACTATTTTTCTTTAACCTGTCCCTAAAGGGGCCAAAACAGCCTCTGGTATCATCCTGAAACTATTTCTCACTGAAAGGAACCAATGCTGCCAAGACGGCAGCTGATTCCAAGCATTGGAACAGCAGTAAAAACAAACTCAGTCAAAACATACTACTAAGAAGCAAAGATGCTTTGCAAGATGTTCATGCTAGTGCTAAGAAGGGAAAGGAAGAAACTTGGTAGACCCTCTGATGGCCACGTCAGTGAGATTTTGAGCCTTAGTCATCATCACCTCCACAACAAATTAAATGAAATTAGCTGAGTCCAAAAAAGGCTTCAATCCATAAGTCTATGATGATACTGAGAGAGGCACGCAGAAGATTCCAATAGTATTCACAAAAAAAGCATTCTACTGATCTACTCACTCAAGTTTTTGTCAATAGCTAAGGATACAATTAGATTTTTTCCTTTTCTTGTGTAAAACTAATAGTATCAGCAAATTGTGACTGACGTCTATTTTACTAAAAGAAACCAAAATCTCTAGGTGGCTCTTGCAAAGGATACATTTCATGGAACATGTAATTAATTGTCATTTGCTGTTTTAATTTTGCTATCAAGGACATCATTTGTCAAGGATGCAATCCGTCTTAAATGTGGTAATAAGACTATGGCTGTACCTCACCATGACCAGTTATTTCTGTCCCATGGGAGGTTATAAAAGAACAAGCAATCTAAAATTTGTACAAATATACTTTACAAAACCCTGTTTTCAAAAAACATTTTACTTATTTAAAAAGTTTGTTTCTAGGTGTTTATCTAGGAAGATGTGTTAGCTCTTTCTGTATCTTATTCTTTTCAAAAAAAATTCTTTGCTTGTTTTGTTTATTTTTCTAAAGTAGCGCTAAGTAGGAAGCAGTTTCCCTCCCTCTAGTTAAGTGCCATTCACTGTAATCTGGTCTGCCTTTAGGGCTCTATTACATTTACTGTAGTACTCTTGCTAACAAAGGCACTCAGAATCAAGCAAGAGGAGGGGATGTCTCACTTGACATCAATCTTAATTAACGTTTTGATATGTCTAGTTTTTCTTCTTAGAGGTATGTGACTATTATTTATAAATTTCACAAATCCTTCTTGAACCCACTTAAACAATGTACACCTAAACCATTACTTGAAGTTAATTAAGTCCCACAATTATCTTCTTTTTATTTGCCCTAAACTTATCAAAGGTTGCCTGTCTTTCTAGAATATTAGAATTTCTTGAGCAAGCCTATGCTCAGCTTAACCAGGGTCTTTTTAGATTAAGGGCCATTGATGCTTTTGGCCTAAACTCCTTTACCAGGGCTGCCATCTCTCCTCTCACTCTAGTGGATCTTCTCTGGCTAGTCTTTTCTTAAAAATTAAAAAAATTTTAAAATTAGTTCCATTATGTGCTTTCTAAGATGTGGCTACCACAAATGCCCACAGAACTACTGATGAGGAAACACCACAGATTCAGGTACCATAAATTAGGTAAGATAACCATTGGTTTGTCTTCAGTAACTCTCACTGATGCTCAATGTTACACTCAGATTTTTATCTTTACTAGAGTACTAAGCTGCTGTTCTCTACACCTGTAATAGAATAGGCAAGAACAAATCTGACTCCATATTAGATCTATTCCTTTAGGTCTAACCCTGTGCTCTGTTTTCTGTGCTTAGCCATGCTACTTCCGTACCTTTCATAAAAGAATGCTGCTTAGAGCCTGAAATATTCTGGATAGCCCATTCTCAAGGCGCCAACCTTTAAGAGTATAACATTTTTCCACTCCTATAGAGATAAAAATTTGCAGGACAGAGAATACCATTCGTCTTGTTGGAAGTTTACAGTAACATCATGACCTGACCTACGTGGACAGCTGCAAGAACAAAGGATTCCAAGCATTCCAACACCAAGAGATTTGCAACAATCAACCACCCGCTCTCCTTTTTAGTATAAAAGGACCCTGAATTCTGACTCGGGAAGATGGTTCTCTAGGACATTAGTTCCCCATCTGCACAGTCTGCTGGTTTTCCTAATAAAGTTGTTATTCTTTGCCCCAACACCTCATCTCCTGATTTACTGGCCTGTTGTGCAGTGAGGAGAACAAGTTTCGACTCAGTAAAAATAATAATTAACACACCCCTTTTCTGAGTTATGGTTCTGAACTATTTAGAACTATTTTAGGTTCCTTTTAAACATTTCACTGACTATTTTAAAACTAGTCCAAAACTTTTTTGTTGTTCAGGAACACCAAATTTTTAAGAGCTTCTTATCATCTAGATCTGGCATCTGTGACTCCTCTCTCTGAAGAGATCTTTCACATAGCATCTTTATATGACTAAGTAATTCCAGTTCTAGCATTGATCTCAGAGACCTGATCAACCTATGGAATCACCCTTTAATCTCTGCCCTTTGTTTCCTTTCTCCAGATCCCTTCTCCCAATTCTTTAGTTACTTAGCAGATCACTCGTTAATTCAAGAAATAGTTACTGGCATCTACTCTGTGGTAGACACAAGAATAGGTGTTAGGACCACAATGAAGAAAACATAGGGTCCCTGCCCTAAAGAATTTCACGTTACATTATATTCACTAATGCATCTTTATTTACTTGCCTATTTTACTCCTTAAAAACACTAGTCAGGCACAATTCATTTTTTTTATAAATCATTTGTTTTTCCCTAAAAGAATATTATTTTTGTTCTTGTTTTTAAAATTCAATGAATTACTCCATGCAAGGATGAAACAAAATCACTTGTACATCCTCAAAGCTTTTTGGGTCTGCACTGCCTAAGGCAGCAGCCACTAGTCCCATATGGCTACTTAATTTTAAATTAATCACAATGAAATTAAATTAAAAATTCTGTTCCTCAATTGCACAAGCCACATTTCAAGTGCTTAAGAGTCACATGTGGCTAGTGGCTACCATATTGGGCAGCACCAATTAGACCATTTTCATCATCACAGAAAGTTTTATTAGCACTTACTGGACAGTTATATACGGAGTCACAGAGTGGCCACATGTAAGTTACACATTTTGGCAAACAAATCACTGTCTTCTTCAATATTCACATGATGCCACCTAGCACTGGTAAGTTACTAATAATTCTTTTTGGTATTGAGGTCTAAACTATCTTAAAAGCCGACCTCTATTAAATATGGTTTAAATTGTAACATAAGCCAAAATAATGACTCCTTCTTAGTAGCAGAATATGACTGGGAATGCATAATCAAAGTGCCTTCGTAACAGCACTAACACAAGCAACGATCAATTCCACATGGTAAACATATTAAAGAAACTTACCCTCCTTCACTTTCCGCTTCCTCTGAACTATTACTTGTTGCTGAACTTTGAACTGTGGCAAGCCTTCTTTTTCTAGCTCTGTGCTGAGGACTTATCTTATGAACAGTTATCTTCCCTCCAAGTTCACCTTGTATATATTCCTCCAGCTTTGGAATGGCTTCTTTAAGAACCCTGATTTCCTCTTTGAGTTCTTCCATATTTGTCAGTAATTCATTTAACTTCTCCAATATCTGAAGCTGCCTTCCTTGAAAGGCTGCTGCTGTTCCTTGACCAATATGGATTTCATCTTGCGAAGTCATCGAATCAAATGGATTACTCAGAGAAAGGAATTTAGGTAAATCCATTGCTGTTCTCGGTTTGCGAACCTTGTGGAACCACAAGAGAAGCAAGCTGATTCCAGTAGTTCCTACCACGATGCCAAGTATCATTTCTTTGTTTTTGGAAAGAGGCATTTCTTGGTTTCTGTTTCTAAAATTAAAAGTATAAATGTAAATGAACATTGTTTCTGTCTTTGCCCAAGACAAAAATATTAGAGCTTTCTCAATCAAGAAAAACCAAGTCTATATCACCACACAAAAAAATTTAAAAACACTCAATAAATCACAAACTAAAATAAATTACAAACAATTGCCTCTATAATGTATGTGGCCAAATAGAAATATTACCTTTAAGGATGTGACTGACAACCTTAAATTAAAGTATCAACTTTAATCAGAATTTGTATTCTACAATACTGATCTGAAATTTACTCTTTGCCACATATCTTTAAAGAGTGTGATAGAGGTAAAAGCATCATTATAAATTTCTACAAAAAAAAACTATTTAAGAATTCTAATTATGCTTAATTGTGTTTGAATCTTTTATTTGTATAAAATTAACTCGTGTGTTGATGTCTGGTTTTATCTAATCTTTAAGGAAACCCCCCAATAAAAGCTCTTCCTTAGCATCTAGTTCAAATTTTGTACTTCAATTTAGAGTGATAAATAACATTCTAAAACAGGCTCTGAGATATAAAATATACAGAGAGTTTTGGCAAGTTTGTAACCCATCCCATTTGTTTTATTCAACATGGAAGGCAGAAATGTTAATATGCTACTTTCTTTTTCAGACCCAGAATTCTTCTGCTCCTTACATTTCTACTTCTGTCTGAGGGCTTAATGTTTTTATTTTCTTTCAAATTTTCACTTATTTTTAAAGTAACAAAAAGTCATTTCTTTGATCCTTTTCTCCTGAACTTTCACCTTTTTTGCATTCAAGACTAAGCTTTGGCCCACCTAATTCCATATGAACTCAGCTACTTTGACTAAATGCACCATAATCTTTCTTTAGTATGTTCTCTCTTCACTTGTTTTATTGCTTATCTCTGTTTCTAAAGTCAGAATACCACAAAACGAAAACAATAATATAAATCCCCCTTTCCTTCTGAGACTTTAAAATGGCAATAATCATACTAGTACAATGATAAACTTTAGTAATTAGAGTAAAATACAGTAAGGCTTTTATATAGACTTTGAAGTTTCCAAAATTGTTTTCCCATCAATTTCCCCTATTTTATAAATAGGTAAACATTTGTATTAAATTTTGTTTGCAACTTGAAAGTTACAAACAATATAAACTGTCCTTACAGAAAATTAAATTTGCAATTTTTTGTTTGTTTTTCCTCAGTTTCTCAAGGAGCAGATTACTAGAGCACTTGATATCTTTGATCCTTGATAAAAAGGAAACAAATAGAGTGTTCTGATCTCCCCACGTTTCCAATTGGAGGCAATTTCTGGACTATAGCACAGGGAAGGGAAGACCAAACAGAGCCTGATAGTCTCACTGAGTTAACAGAGATCAGAGTTCAGAGAAACTGAAGCATCTAGAATTTGTGCAGCTTAATACTGAAAATGAGAAGGTATACAGACAAAGAGCTCCAGAAATAGGGGTCTTCTTGAATCTTTAAATTGAATACCAGTCTGCACATGCATAGAGTGGAACTCCATTAAGCCAGGCAAAAAACAAATGCTGACAGAAAATGTCAATTTGCATTTCTATACAAAGTAAAATAATGTTCAAAAGTGAAGATAAAGGCTTTTTTAAACAAAGAAAAGTTGAGAGACTCCATTACCAGTAGCCATTCACTACAAGAAATGCTAACAGAGGTTCTTCAGGCAGAAGGAAAATTTTAACAGAAACTTGTATCTATAGAAGGATGAAGAGCACCAGTAGTGGCAAATATGTGGCTAAATATAAGATTCATTTTTCTCATTTTAAGATTTATTCATAAAATATTTGCTTATTACAACAAAAATTATAATAACATATCATGGGGTTTATATCATATATAGAAGTAAAAAAGTAGGACAACAATAGCCCACAGGGTGGGAAGGGAAAAACAGAACATACTGTTGTGAGGGTCTCAGGTTATAAAGCAGTGTTACAATAAGTTAAAGATCCACAGTTGTAAACCCAAGGGCAACTGTTCAAAAAAACAAAAACAGTAATTTAAAAAATATTCCACAAAAGTATGAAAGAGCCAATAGTGGAAATAAAAATGGAATACTGAAGATTTTCAATTAGTCCAAAAGAAGTCAGGAAAGGGGAAAAAGAACAAATAGGCAAACAGAAAACAAGGAGAAAAGAAATTGCCATGACTATATAGGAAAACACTGGTAAAAGATGGAGAAATCACATTATTTCTGTTTGCCCATGGCAAAGATTCAATTTTTTAAGGAAGATTAAATTAATGAAAGTAAAAGAAAGATTAGAGAATCACTGTAATAAACATGAGAAGCCAAAGAGGATGGATAATCTCCAGTGCACTAGTACAGAGGCTGACCTTTGATGGAAACAAACCATTCATTCACAGGCATGAAAGAAAAGGCAGATTATGTAAGCAGATTCAGGAAGGTGGGACGTGATGGTGGGACGTGATGGTGGGAGTTTATGAAGTTCTCTTTGATTGCTTCATTATTCTAAGTGAAATGGGAAACAAAATAAACAGCTGAGAGTGAGAATGGGGAACAGAGTATTGTGAAGATGCAAGTTCTGAATTCAGTTGTGTATATGAAATTAGCCTTCCTTTGGTTTATATTCTATGATCCCATAAACTCAAGCAAAGCATTTTTTATCCTCTAAATGGCCAAATAAACATGATGTTTCAAATGAAGTACTAAGAGAAAGAATAAGAAGCAAGCATCTACTTCTAAGAAATCTGTCTAAAAGAATGTCTCTATTTAGAGTCCTCAGGAATACACTAGACTATATGCATTGAACACAGGGAGTATTCTATTTGGATGTCCTATTTCATTACTGCTCTAAGTAAAAAAAGAAGAACTAATGGTTTTAAAAGAATCTTCCAGAAACTACCTCAGGTGTTGGTGAATATTAGATACAAGAGACTTAGGAATCCCTATTCCTAAAGCCAAGAGTTTCAGTAGAAAACCTGTGTGCTTAATCTGGCCTACCTGACAGCAGGATAGTTTACCTGAAACTATTTTTTTAAGTAAAAAGTATTTTTACCTAATTGGTATAAGTTTGAACTCTTAAGTGTAACCATCTGTCCACTCCCATCCCACCCAGAAGACCTGCCAGGAGGAGATCCAGATCAATTTGTAACTTCAGCTGAAGTTGGAGGTAATTATTATTAGCTGTTAAATTTTATTTCCACAAAAAATTATATCACAAAACTAAATTATTTTGAAAAGTCATTACAAAAAGGCAACAGATATAAGAAAACATTTGTATCACATCTAATAATCATGCATCAAGCTTGATCATCTTGGCTCTTCTTTGTCAATACAAAATTGATACAAGAGAGAACTATATTCAATACCTTGTAATAGCCTATAATGAAAAAGGGAATATACATATATATATGTACAACTGAATCACCATGCTGCACACGAGAAATTAACACACTGTAAATCAACTATACTTCAATTAAAAAAAATTAATGCAGGATGTTCACACGCTGATCTTGAGGTCCATTAAAATCTTATTCTGATTGCTTTCTTGGCTCATTCCTGCTGGGCCTGCTTGGAACTTTACATTAAAACACATGGCCTAGTTTGAAACTTCTGTCATTTAATAAATAAATAAATGGAAGTCAAAATTTACTTAGGGAGATCTTACCCCTGGGATGGTACCAGGTTTAAACAGGTGAGAAAGACAAGAGTATTAATTTTGTTTGACCCTTTCTTTAGGAATTATACCAATCCCAAATTATCTCTTTCAGGCAGGTCCTTTTATTATCTCTATCTGAGACACGTAGCTGTCAAGTCATTTACCCAGGAGTTACCCAACTAGGAATAAGAACTGTTACCCTTGACAAGTCCTGGATGCACTGCAGTATGATGAAGATTCAGAAAGCAGCAACAAGGACATGAAAGAGAATGCTGACTGGGCAAAGATGTTCAGAGCTGAAATACGACTTCAGAACTATGAAAATCAACTTGGAAAAAAACTAGAATCAATGGAGTAGGCACTGGTTTTCAATAAGCACAATTAGAGATAATAGCTCAAGCTGTTTGAGTTTTATATCAGTATAAAATGAATGTGCTCCTAAGCCAATAATTTGAAAAATGCTACTCATTAAAAAATAGTAATATAGAAAGGTAATGTCAGAACACTTGCTTGCCTGCAGTATAATTTCAAAAGTTATAATGCATCATTTATATAACTTTAATACGTTTAATTATCACATTAGAAGTATACACTCACACTTTGGTGTAAAAATACAGCAATTAAAAAATGTATTGACTAGATAATCAGATGCTAAGTATTATTCCTGTTACAAGTTTCAGTTTGTAAGGTACTAATCATACCAATGTAAAATAATAGATATTATTTTATTATATATTATTAGCATCTAAAATTAATATGTAATACAAAGTAAAGGTTATTTGCAGAGATGAGAATCAAGAATTCTTCTGAAATGATAAATCACCAAAATGTTGCCTCTGCATAAATTCCTACGTTAAAATTCCTTTGTAGGAACTGTCATAAAAAATTAACTTCAGAAAACACTTAACTTTCATGTCCTAGTTTTAATTAAAATTTATCTTTAGACATGGAAATTATGCTTTACCAAGTTACAAAGCTTTCAGCAACATCTAGCATATATATTCACTTACTTAGCAGATTCGTAGGGGGAAATACATATACAACTCTGATAAACTCGGGAGACGGATGAAAGTTTTTGCGAGAACGGTACACAGTATGGGTTACGAAAAAGCCTGAGTTTTAAGTTTCCCAAGGGACTGCTCTGAAACCTTGAATTAGCGATTAGATTCCCCACGGCGACCTGGATAATTTGATACTCTCTAAGTGAATTCTAACATTCTTATTTCATTTGATTTCCATTATTTTTCTTATTTTGTAATTTCTTTTCACTTAGGACTCCCTGATGTTTGGCTTATTTGCAAATGTTTGTCGCACTGAAAATCTGGCCTTTCACTTTGTATAAAATAGGTAGAGAATCTGAGTGTGAGCAAAACAAAGCAAAACAAAACGTTTGCTGGAGGATGAACGCTGAGAAAGACCCAGGGAGCAGAGGTGAGAGGCGAGCAAAAGTCTCCAGCAGAAACTCATCTGGGGTTTGCAAGGACCTGCTGGGGCCGAGGCATCAAGCTGCCCGCTCCCCAAGCACCCACGCCGGGCGCCCGCGTGGAAACACTGACGACCTCCGGGGTTGAAGCTTCCGATGCGCCAGCTCCGTGAGGCTTGCACGGGGGAAGCCGCTGCAAACGCGCTCGGCTGCCGGAGAACAAACAGCAGGGCTGGCCTACAGGAGGATGCCCCGCAGGGATACAGCCGCCAGGAGGACACCCGCACGACCCGGAAGTGCGGTGGCCGTCGCCGGAAGTGCCGCCTCAGCATTCAGCCCTCGGCCCCCGGGTCGTGTACTACCCCGGCCCGCCGAGCCGCCCACTGCCCGCCTGCG